CCCCCGCTGCTCTGCTGCTGGGAGGGAGCATGCAGGCTTCAGAGCCAGGCTGGCTGCGGCCCAGATCCGGCTCCTGCACTATTAGCTGGGAAAGGGGAGGAGTTGCTCTGCCCCCAGAGCTGCAGCTTTATCGTCTGTACAAGCGGTTGCTGGTTCCCACTTCCCAGGGGTGGACCAGGAGTGGAGGCGGCAATGGTGACGCGGGGCCTGGCCGTAGGCCATTTGTGCCCCTTCCCCACGTGGCAGGCCCCTTGGAAGATGCCAGAGAGGCGGTGGAGGGCAAGTGTAAGGGCACCTGAGCTGTGCGGGAGCTGCTGGGGCTCCGCGGCAACCGTGAGCCCCCAGTGGCAAGGCCGCGGCCTCCCGGACGCAAGTCCCTCATCTCGGCCTCACCACCTGTCCCTGACGTGCCCAGGACTGGCCGGCCGGGCAGCGCTTTGCGGGTCCCTCTGAACCCAAGTCCCCAGGTGTCTGTGTTCGTGTGGGTGGGGCTGGGTGCCTGCCACCAGGCAGTCCTCCAGGATGGCAGCTGGGACTGAGCACTCACTCAATGCTCGCAGCCACCCCACAGGTGGGGTGATTAACCGTTTTATAGATGAGCAAACTAAGCTGCTCTGCCTCCCCAGAGGGTAGTGGCCAAATTAGGGTCCCGCTCCACAGCATCTGGCCTCCTCCCAGAGCCCCTCAAAGGGCTCCACCTGTCAGCCCTGCTTCAGTCTCCTTAACCCCACTTTTGTTCCCTGCCCAAACCCTGAACCAGAGCCCCAGTTCCTCCCAGGCCTGCACCACCCCCGCCCCTGCAAAACCAGATCTAAGCAGACAATGACCTGGAGAATGGGGTCCTTCTGTGGCTTGGGGTCCTCTCATCCCCCACCTCCAATGCTTTGAATGACACACCCCAAAGGACACACACATATGTGTGTGCACAGACAGGTGCCCATAGAGACCCACGTAAGCACACGTGCATCCCCCCCCCCCACTACAACCCCACAGTCCTTGTAGAGACTGGGTAGGGAAGGCAGGGCACACAGCACAGGAGGGGCCCGGTGTCTGGGATGGGGAGGAGAATGGATGGCTTTGGCCAGAGTGGCCTGGGAGCAGGTGCCTATTCCCAGTTCCCAAGCCTGGACAACCTCTACAAAGCTGGGTGGAGGGAGACGGAAAGGGATCTGCCCGGGCCCTGCAGCCTGCCCTCCACCTTGGCATGGCCGGGGAGTCACCGTTCTCAGCTCCTTCCCTAGGGGCAGGTCTGGAGCCCCAGCACCACAGCCTGGGCAGCTCCCCAAGGAGAGGGCAGGGCCAGGACGGCACATGAGGGCCTCTCCGGGGCCCGATCAGGGCCCTTGGCCCGAAGTGGACACTGCTCCCCACTGCCACGGCGGTCTGGGTGTGCTGGCCCAGGCTGGGTGGGGACAGCTGAGGAAGACCCAGGCAGCCGGCCCCTCGGAGTGGGCAGAGCCATGGGTGGGGGTGCTGAGGGGCACAGAAGCGCACAGGTAGGAAGGTAGGACTGAGGGTGGGGTCTGGGCCCAGGCGGCTCCACTGGAAGCTGCTTGCTCTGAGCCTGGCCCAGGCCCCTCCACGGCTCTACTGGGAGTCCTACTAGGCTACGCTACCACCCTTACCTTGCGAGAGAACATCAACTTCGGCACCTTCTTCCCAGAGGGATGGATGCAGGGGGCGAAGGGGACAGCATGGCTAAGAAGAAAGCTGATGCCTGCCAGCCCAAGGGGGAGATGCTCACGGCTTCAGCCCAGAGACCAGAGAGCAAGGCTGGGGCCCTGAGCCCACAGGAGATGAATCTCCTGCCTAGAGCCCACCTACTCCTCGAGGAGTCTGGGGTGTTGGGAACTTCAGGAGGCCAGAGGCAACCAATCCAACCCCCCCTTGGCCACCAGGACAGACCTGTCATCTCTCCCCTTCCCCTTCTCCCCACCACAGACCCTCCCCAGCTCTGCCCCCCCACTCCCCTCCCCCATGACTTCCTTCTCTCGTTCTCTTCTTGCTTTTTTGTTCCACTCCTTCCCTGAATGTCTGTCTGGGCAGGGCTTTTTAGGGCAGCGGAGATGATTTAGCCAAGAATTCCCTCCCTGCCCTGCGCCCACAGCACAGATACCACAGAGACTGGAAGGAAACAGTGGCAAGGACAGGCCTTCGGACCTCAGCCCCTCACCTCCGCCCAGGGCCCTGGACCCCGGGGACCATGGGGGCCGGCGGGGGCCTACCTTGGCCTTGCTGATGGTGCAGTGGAGGGCGTTGTTCTCCTGGTCGTAGAGTAGGCTGAAATCCAGCGTACCCAGGGCAGCTGCGGACAGAGGGTTCAGGTCATGCATCGGCAGCACGGGGGAGGAGCGTCACCCACCCGTGTGGTGGGACGAGGTGCCGCAGCTCCTGCCATCGATGGAGCACCTACTGCATGCAATCCGTCCGCCCAGCCTCCCAATCCCACCAACGCTGGGAAGTGCGCGAGAGCCCCCTCAGGTCCAGATGAGGGAGGAGTGGAGGCTCGGGAGGTGAGGTCAGCCCCTGGGCGGGGCTGTGGTGCCTGGCCTGTGGCCCGTTGTGCCCCCTGTACGGGACACTCAGCTAAAGGTTCCTGTCCTCCTATCCTCCTTGTGCAACTGCCAGCTTGGCTCCATGCCTCAGTTTCCCTGACCTGTTAAATGTCCCAGGGGTTGTGTGAGAAGGCAGAACAGACAGGGCCGTGAGAAGCTCTGGGCCCTGGCTGGGCTGACTGGCTGATCCACCCCCAGCAACACTTAAGGCTGCGGCTCCCCAGTCTCTCTGGTCCCTTGGGGGGCCCCGGGGGCCGGCTGCGAGGAGCCAGCTGTGTCCTCACCCTGCTACCTGCCAGCCTCTGAAAGGGCAGGCGATTCCCTTGGGCAGGGCAGAGCGTACAGCCCTAACTGGGTGCAACAGCAAGCCCTCGGGGACAATCACATGCGGCAGCTGCGGTCGGCCATGTTCACGTGGCTCCTGGCGTGAAGGTGGGGATTGCAGGGGGGAGGGTGGGGGAGGCCTCAGGGGGCAAGTCTCCGGACAGCAGGATGCACATTGACAGGATGTCTTTAGAAACCCAGATCCTGCGCACAGACTGCTGAGCTGCTCCAACTGCCATCCCATTCATTCATTCATTCATTCAATCATTCATTCATTCTTCTTTACCAAGCCTTATTACAATAAGCCGGACTCTAGGGATGAAAATACCAATAAGGCGGGGTTCCTGCCCCAAGGAAAGCATAGCTTAATGGGAGAAACAGATGAAAAGAATCAGCCCTAGCAGAGCCTGGTAAGCCAGGAGCGATAGAGGTTCAAGGGGTTCTCCTTGCCCTGCTCTGAATGGGGGCCACCAGGGAGGGCTCCCCAGAGGAGGTGATGCTTCACCTGAGCCATGAAAGATTGAGTAAGAGTTGGCCAGAGCACAGTGGTGCTGAGGGGGAAAGGGCATTCGGACCTCAGACCAGCAGGAGGTGGGGGGCTAGGCGACTGGGAGAGGCAGGGGGGAGGGCGGGGCTCTGTTTTTCTGGCCAGCGGCACCCAACATGGTTCTAGATTCATGCCGAGCCTGGCCACGTTCATTTCTTTACATCTGGTCCATGGTTGCTTTTGCATGACAAGGCCAGAGCTGAGCAGAGGCCGTCTGCCTGCAGATCCCTGGGCTCCTGTGGGGCCCCCCAGCATGGCAGCATTTGGCTTTGCAGAGAAATGGGCAAATTAAGGCCCATGTGTGCGGAGCTGCCCTTTATTCTGAGGTGCGGGCACTGAGTTGCATTTGTCTTGCTCTCTAGCTCCTGAGACAGGGTAAGTAAGGCACCCGGCCCAGTCTCTGTGCTTGCCTGGGAGGGCACATGTGGGGCACTGAGACCCGCCCTCTGCCACCTGACCCTGGGGTCAAGTCCTGGCTGCACGCTTCCTTGCTGTGTGACTTTAGACAGCATTTCTAGCCTCTTTGTGCTCAGTTTCCTCAACAGCATCTTTGCTGTGTGACTTTGGTCACACAATAGTATCCACCGCACGGCATTGTGCTTCAACAGCCCCTGGGGTACAGAACAGCTCAGTACGTAATGATAGAAGGAGCAGATCCATTTAGGTGAATTTTCTAGATAACTGTACTTGCTCCTCTGAGACACCTTCTGGAATGAACTCATTCCAAACTGGATCACTCCCCTCCCAGCCTTTGTGACGAGAATATACAAACAGTCACTTACACTCTTCTGCATGACCTGAGGCATCGCGAGGACCACGACGACCGTTCTGGGCACCACGGTCGCGGCCCAGGCCCAGGGATCCCCAGGAGCCACTTCTTGCGGTTTTCCTAGGTTTTCTCCATTCGTCTGCCTCCTCCTTTGCCATCAACTTGAAACTCCTCTTAGAATACTTGCCTCTGATAGCACAAACAGCCCTCCTTCCTTCTCAATAGTCACTCGTTTCTTCTACGAAACCAGGCGCAAATACTTGCTAGAATTGTGTCCAAACTTTGAGTCAACAGGCCCTGAGTGGAGCCCAAGGTGCCTAAGTAGAGTCTGTGTGCTGTATCTGGCCCTTTGCTGCATGTACCCGGGCTCCCATCTATGCAGGTGGACAGGTGGGGGGGCCGGAAGCGAGGCACGTATCACCATGCCTGTTACAACGAACACAGCCATGGGCCCAAGATTCTCCCGGTCCATGCTTTTTTTTTTTTTTTTTTAAAGATTTTATTTATTTGACAGAGAGAGACAGCGAGAGCAGGAACACAAGCAGGGGGAGTGGGAAAGGGAGAAGCAGGCCTCCCGCCGAGCAGGGAGCCCGACGTGGGGTTCGATCCCGGGACCCCAGGATCATGACCTGAGCCGAAGGCAGATGCTTAACGACTGAGCCACCCAGGCGCCCGGGTCCATGCTTTTATAATAGTCTCCAAAGCTGTTGGCTTGACGTGACAGTCCATCAGTCTGCTGTTCCGGTCAGGCCTACCCATGGCTTGTTCTCTCAAGACGTCAGCCTCCAGACAGGAGGGACCATGCCTCAGCCACGCCAGTGACACCAACAAAGAGCAGATGTTCAGTCTGCACGGCCGGTCTGTTCAAGCCAGTTTGCTCTCCGCTGTTCACAGGAGCGGGGATTTGGTGATGCCCACGTGTTAAAATGCACACTCCACAATCTCTGCCCGCTTCCTGCTCCCAGAGAAGGACAGCCAGCCAGACGGTGGGGCAACCTGCTCCCCACCGGGAAACTCAGGTCCAGGAGAAGAAGAGAGGAGCCCCTTTTGCTGGCTCTGCAGACATCCCTGTTTAAGGAGGACTGACACGGCTCAGTGAAACCAACACCCGTCATCCATTCCCAGGAAGGAACAGAGCACCCAGCGCCCCCTCCACGCGATGATTCTTTTTTGAACTCCAATGGAGGTTTTGTAAGAAATAATAGTTTATTAATAGAAGCGTGGTCACCATTTTTAGAGATCTGCTGGTGGTGGATCTTACAGTCCAAAGTCTTCATTTCCCATTGAGAAATGAGGCTCAGAGAGGGGAGGTGACCTGGTAAGGGTGGCCCAGCAGAACCGGACATAGAATCCAGGCCTCTTCACTTCCATCCTGACAGTTCCTGTCTTAAAGCCTAGTGGCTTCCAACATTTTTTTTCTTTTTGTCTGCTACTTTGTGGAGCTGAAATCTTAGGGGGATACCGTGGAGAAACAGAGAGAGAAAAGCAGAGTGGCTCTCAGGGACGGGGAGGCTGGGCTGCCATCCTAGAGGGGCCTCTGAGTTGGAAACACAGCTGTGGGCTTGTGGTGCAGGTGAGGAGGGCCCTAAGGGCAAGCGAAGGGGCTCGTCTGCTTGAGCCACAGAGTCCTGCCCTCCGCCCACGGAAATCACATGTCCTGGCTGAAGTTTACATCCTTGGAAAAATAATGAGGGTTGGTCACTAATGGCCCTTGGAGAGTTGTCACCCGCCTGTCGATAATTATAGAGCTTTAATGGGGCTAATTCAGAGAAAATCAGGCTCAAGCCCTGGTCGGTTCCTCTAAGGCCAAACGTCCCTTTGCTCTGCTGATGGGGACTGACAACATCATTCTGACCTTGGTTTGCACCTGGACCTTCCTCACCCGTATACCCTTGGGAATAGGAAATCGGCCCTGGCTGTTCTTTTCTTTCTTTTTTTTTTTTTGAAGAGAAATGTCAGCCTCTCAAATAGTTTTTAAAAACTGTGGCAAGAACCACAGAAAAATGGTCAAGCCTGAGCTGAAAGCATTTCATAGTTGGGAAAACTGAGGCACTGAGCCAAGCATTGCAAGGGGTAGAAAGAAGAATGAGTCATCTGTCCCTGCTTCCCAGGAGCTCAGAGGCAGAGAATTAGAACTTTAGGACCTTCAGAAGTCTATTCATTCTCCTTCTTTAAATTATTCAAAGGTTCACACAGCCTCCTGGACTCAGTTTAACCTCCTTGGTGTAGCATTCAAGGCCCTCTGTGATATGACCACTTGGGCCTCATCATGGATCTTTTCCCCTTACTTTAGCCACTTGACTATGGCACCTCTGCTGGGCTCTTTCTTCCACCTCTACCTGTGCACACGGCAGTCCCCCTGCCAGGAGCACCTCTCTTTCCTCCTTCTACTCAGCCAGCCTGCTTCCTCCCTTCTCCCAGGCTCGGAGCACAGCCTTCTCTGTGGGTAAACTCTGTGCAAACCAGCGCTTCCCGTTTGGGTTCCTGCCTCCCTGTTGTCACTGCTGGGCTATTTGCGCCTCTCGGTTTCCATGAACTCCCTCATGTCAGAGACTGAGTCTCAGGCATTCTTGAGTCTCACACAGTGCCTGACGTACAGCTGGTCTTGTAATGTTGAGTACCTAAAACTATGGTCTGGGTGGTACATGACTGGGCTCCAAGGAAGGGGGCTCACAGCCAGCGGGGACTGGGAACCACTCCCAGCTGAGGGCCTTGGGGACGGCGCTTCCTTCACTCCATCCCTGCCCCGGGCCTCCATGGGCACCACTCCTGACCCAGCCCGGCGCGAACCACGCAGGGGCAGTGTCAGCACGGGTATGTGATGCCAGGCTGGCCGATGGGACAGAAGGGCAGGTCTCCTGGGGACTCTGGGAGAGCTTGCCTCGATTTTCAACTGAGATACGGGCAAGGAAACGTGTCCTTGTCAAACTGAGGATCTTACTGTTACATGTGACACCCGGACCTGAAGCAGCCACCCAGGACCAGGAAGGAGGTCAGCCTAAGGGGAGCAGAGCAGAGCCAGGGGGAAAGGGGGACAGAGCCATCACCTTTGAGGATGCCGATAAGCCACTGCATACACCTACTTCGGTGTCACGGGATCCCAACTGTCCCCATAGTTTAAGACACTTTGCATTTTCTGTTACTTGCAACCCAAACATTCTAGTCCTTACAGCTTTGAAGAAGGGCCTGGGTTTCCACAGGTGGAGGCTGGGTGGGAGGGCAAGGGCAGGGGAGGGGCACCTGCGGACGGAGGGGCCCGGGGCCTGGCTGGGGGGCAGCAGGCAGCAGAGTCCAGCTTGGCCAGGCCACACTGTGGACCAGTGCGAGGGAGGACACTTCTAAACCCAACGCTCACTGCCTTTGCACCCCATCATTGCCCCCTATTAGATCAGTTTGGAACGTGTGAATTTTGTGCTTGGGTCTTGAGGTGACTTAATAAAGGATGAGCTTTAAAGAGAAGGGGGAAAAAAGGCTGAATAAATAAATAGCACTTCATTCTCAACCTTGGACAACAGAACAACCGCCCTAATTTCTTTTTGTTAGAATAGAGATAATCCAATAATTAGGGCAGCAAATAGCATAACCCTGGCTAAAGCTGTAATGAACCATCTGGCTTGAATCACTTAGGCTAATTCTCAGGATCTGGTTGTCAGAGTCGAGAGGGGGCCTGGGTCTGGGGTATGGGCTGGAGGGCGGTTCCGCGCCAGAACCCGGTCCCACCACAGGAAGGAGCCAAGATTTCTGTGTTCCCGTGCCTGGGAAGTCTGCTCAGCCACTGATGGGAGCCAAGGCTGGGGCGGGCTGCTCGTTGAAGGGGACGAGGGGGCCCAAGCTGGCCCTGGCTCAGCCACACGCCCTCCTCCTTAGCTCTTTTCGGCAGACTGCGTGGTGATCTGGGTGTGGCCAGCCCACCATTCAGGCTGGCAAGTCTGTGTCCAGGATGGCCTTGCACTGCAGACCTAAAGTGAGTCTGTCCCCTGCTAGGACACATGAGCTCCCTGGGTCCCGAGACCCAGTCCTGTTCCCCTTTTCCCACTCTCTGCTGCTGGGACAGTGCTCACTGAAGGAAGGACTGGAGTCGATGGGCTGGAGGTGAGGCAGTGGGCCTGAGTTTGGGACTTTCCCTACCCTTTCTTCTGGAGGTGGCTTTGGGTTCAGGGCCTCCAAAGGGGTGACTTGGGTCCCAGTTAGGGCCTGCCCAGATGCACGGCAGGGGAGGAGGTGTGATCTGCCCAGGGTGCCAGGAGCTGGGGGGTGGGGAAGATCCAGGGCACAGCCCCGAGGGCATAAACTCTCGACCCAATTTCCCCAAGCTGGTAGGAAAGCGGAGGGAGAGGACTGCTCCCCACCCCCAGGCCGCGCTGTCCGGCCTCAGTACACCCAGCTGCGGCCAGAGTGCCGAGGTCCAGGCCCCCACAAAGTGCACAGGGGACAGTTTCCCCTCCCCGGAGGGCGGAGGACAGGCCTCCTCCAGCTCTCTCCTGCCGGGCCTCCCTAGGTAGGCGGATGAGAGCTTGGCCGCCTCCCCCAGTGGCACCGGTAGTCTCCACCTTCAGCTTCCAGAGACACATTTTATGCTTGGGGAAACTCCAGCCGCCCCCCCCCACCACCCCCGGCCCTAGGCCCACGTGAACCTCCAAACCAGGCGCGGCCACCCTCGCTGCGCTGCACGCGGGGGACCCGGCCGAGCGGCCCTCGGCTAAGCCGGCGAGACCCCTACCCGGAAAGGTCCACCTCCGGGGCAGGGCTGCTGTGGCAGGTCTGACAGTGACGCGGCCGGGGCTACGGCGGGGCTGGGGCCCTAGCGAGCAGCGCTACCTCCCACCCCCACCCCCATCTCGCTCCAACCCCTTCCGAACCAGGCGGCGACCTCCTCGGCCTCGGTTTCCCCTCCAGTCCCGGGTCCTGCGCGGCAGGCACCTTCAGAGACCGGAAAGGCGAGGAACGCCCGCCGGCCGGGCCTCGGCCCCGCGGACCCCGGCGCTTGCCCACTCCCTGGGGCTCGGGGTTCAGCCCGGGGAGGGGGGGCCCTTCCTGGCGGTGTCAAGCGGGCGTAACAGGTGGGCGAAGGTCGGCGGCCCGGGAGAGCGCCGCGGCGGGGTCCACGGACGCGGGAGGAGGAACGGCTAAGGTTTTTCCAAAGGACAAGCGGCCCCGCGGTGCTCTGGTGCTCGGCCCGGGCGCCAGCAGAGCCGCTGCGCTCTGCGGGTCGCCGGGCCCACTCGGGAGGCCGGCCCGGCCCCAGCCCCCGGCCTCTCCTCCTCCCGCCCCAGCCCGGCCCCTCGGCTGCGAGGCCGGCCCGCAGCGGGCTCCCGGGCGGGGAGGACCGCGCGGCCGGCAGCAACTGGTGTCTCCCCCGGGCGCAGCTCCGCCCTTCCCGGGAACAAAAGCCGCCGCCCGCACCCGAGCTCCCCGCGGGCGGGCCGAGAGGGGGCGCGGCGCGGGCTCGGAGAACCGGGCCCCGCAAGTGGGACGCCCTCAAGGGGCGCCCCCAAACTTCCCACCGCAACAGCGCAGGTCTGCAGGGCGCGCGGAGGGCGCACGGAGCAGGCGAGGGGCCGCCACGGGCGGGGGGTGGAGGCCGGCGAAAGGGGAGACCGCAGGGCGCCGGGGGACCGGCGAGGTCGGGGGAGCGCGGCGGAGGCCGGGCCGGGGGAGGGGGCGGGAAGTCGGCGAGTTGGAAACTTACTGCAGTCGTCCGACTCGTAGCCGTCGGCGTCCGGCTCGTCCTCGGGCGGCTTGGCGGGCGGCCGCGCCGGGCTGGGGACGGGGCCCGGGCCCGGGCTGGCGC